ATGGAAGCTTTGCAAAACCGAAATCTAAGATAGCTCTACGCATGCAACATAATCCAAACTAAACCGATGTCGAAAGTTCATCACAACATATTCGAATTTGACACCATGTATGCAGGAAACAACAATACATATTATTCATTTATTCCAGCCATATTACATAATTTATTGTATAAACTCAAAGCAAGCAAATCCAAAAATTGGTCAAACACACACCCACACACTAATGGAGATATTCAGCATTGCAATAACATCTAAACAGAGTTAGAAAAAGAAACAATCAGCATTAACAAATTAATAAACAAGTGCAAATAAATAAATAGAAAGGAAACCATAAGCAGGAAAAAAGGACGTGAAACCGTTACCGATTTGAACTCGAAGCTTACTGTGCAAATATTATTGTTGAGTCGTAGCTGAGAGCAAGCTCTGAGTTGCAAAGACGCTGAGTTGTTGTTGTTATTTTGAATTATTGCGTTGCTGGATTTGAATATGGTGATGTTCCACCATGATAATGACGTGCCGTCGAACCGACATTGTTGTGAATGTTATAGCTGCTACAAAGTGAGACTCAGTTGATGTGCTAGGTGACTGAGTTTGTGGAGAAGCTGAAAACAACGTCGAAAATGGGTTCTTATGCAGTGCAGAAAATAATATTTACTCTTCGAATCTTAAAATCGAAACAGAGAGATTATTTTGATAAACAAAATCAGTGCAATCGTGGACTGGCTGGGAGTGAAAGTCTAGTAGTAGTAATAACGTTCACAGCGGAGGAAATGTGAAATCGGCGGGAGTGGTTTTGAGTGAAAAATGGTGAGAATGGAGGTTGAGCTGGGATCCAACAGTGAACTCATTTTTAGGTTCTTTGTGGAACCTATTAAGCCACGTCAGCTTAAAGCAACTCAACTAATTTTTCATTCTTAATGGTTCAATTCTAAAAAACTCATATTGGGTCCCACAAATTTACTTTATATTTTAATATTTTATTCATATTAAATTTTATATCACTTAAAATAATAATTTTAATTTTTTTACAGAAAATTATTTCAATCTACTATATAGTCCAACCGGTATATAGTGTTGTTTTAAGAAAAAATATTTCATTCTACTATATAAACTTAAAAAAAATTAGATTAAATTTAAAAAAATATTTCAATCTCTCCTTACTTAATTTTAGTATTTTAAATTAAATTTGATATAAAATAAAAAAAATTAAAATTAAAAATTAAAATAAATAAAAATTAAAATAAATAAAAATAAAATAAATAAAATTCAAATTAAACTTATAATTTAAACTTATAATTAAAATATAATTTTCATATTATAAAATCAATATTTTAATATTATAATTATAATTTTTATATGATAATTAAAATGATAAATAAAATTTTATATTAAATTATAATTTTTATATTATAAAATTAATATTTTAATATAAGAACAGTTGAAGAACCGTTGCTTAATTAAGCACCGTTCAACAACATGGCAATCTTGGAAACAACAAATATGAGTGTCATGTTGACAAATCCACTCTAAGAACTCCCATTAAAGTTGGTCTTACAAACCTCTCTCAATCCGTGAATTTCTCATCTCCACGTGGTAATATTGTGCAAATGGTGTTGAAAGTTTGAAAAGAAAACCACTTCAAACCTTACAGCTAGTCACGTGATAAGCCCTTCCTCTTTTTCTTAACCGAAAAATATGGGTGGATAGATTTGAGATATCAGTGTATGAGCAGTCAATGTATAATATAAAAAAGGATCCAATGCATGAACCTTTATTATTTTTTCTTCTTTATTATTCCGAATTTTGAAAATAAAATTTGATAATTAAATTAAAACTAAACAACACAAAATGAAATCAAAATAAAAACACAATTAATTCTACTAATTATTTTGACTATAAAAATAAAAAAAAAGATTAAAAACGAATAAAAATCGAACTAAAAAATATTAGAAAAAATAAATTAAATGCACTAAAATAATCAGCGCAAAATAAACTTCTTGGAAACATACATGTTTTGATCAAATTTAAAAAATAAAAAAGGACCAGTTAAAAGGCTCATGCCGATCAAAATGCGACCGAAAAAGTAGTCGAAAAACTTAAACAAGTATACAAGGTTAAATTACGTGGACCGTAGATCAATAATACTAAAGTCTACAAGTTCGATTTTGAAAATTTTCGCCTGTTAATTTCACGTATATTTAAGAATCAGTTTGACTGGTCTATCTATAAATTCGAAAAATTATTTTGGTTGATATTTTAGGCATTATGCGACATGAAATTCATGTTATGTTATGCCTATGATGTGAAAGTTGAGATAAATGTATTGATTCGTTAAGATCAAAATTGAGGTGTGACAGTTGCCACTATTTAAACTAACGTCCAAACGGGCACTCCCGTGCCCGTTTGTCCGCTTTTTTTACTGTACTAACGCGTGAAAATATTAACAACTTCTTTTTTATAAGTTTGATTTTAATATAAAATATTTATATGATGAAATATATTGTATTTATTCAGATACATATTAAGTTTTATTTGCAATATGTAATATTCGTGTTTTAAATTTTGTTTGAATTGAGAAAACCGCATAGTGACGTGACTATATTTAACCGGTTTTTTTCCAAGCAAATCAATAATGTGAGAGGAATAATTTGATGGTTACGAATACCGTATTAAGGAAAAAGAAAATAGGTTACACCAAAATTAAATTTTGTATTTATGTATTGATATAGATTGTACAAAATCATACGAAAATTTAAATAAAATTAAAAAAAATGTTTATCACAATTTATTAAGCTAATAACATAAACATTAACAGAGACATTAAGTGAATTATTGCTTAATAGGAAGGTCAACCATAAAATCAAAATAAAAAATATCTCTTGTTTTACTGCAAAACAAATGAAGTAAATTTTAGTAGTCAACAATATAGTGTAATCTAGTGAGTGCACGCCAAGTGTGAGTTTGCAAAAGTATAGTTGAACGTTTAAATATAATAGATAAATACCTGAGTTTGTGACAATATTTTTTTTTTAAAACTATATTTTTGGTAAACACTCCTTCTTTCCCATCTACTTTTTCATCTTTAATTAGCACTCTTGTGACAGCATGCGAAACACCTCTTGATAAAGCAACGTACAATTATTGTGACTGGAAACATGTCGTGAAAGATAAATTCTAACATTTGGAATCGTTTGTCCTTGCGATTTGTTTATAGTGATTGCAAAGCTTAGTTTGACAAAAAACTATTTTCTAATAAGCACAAAAGAAAGTCTCGCACCTTAAGTGGTTTTGAGCTTAATTTTCGGCAATACAACTCTTTTTCCAACGTTGTGGCCAATAAGTATTTCAACATCAAGCAAATTCATAAAAACCACGACATAACAAACTTGTACCATTACACAACCCAAATTTAGGGTCTATATTTCACATCAACATCAGTGGAGCCCCTATTTTTATATTTAAAATATGTGGTGGTAAAGTACCAGGAGCAATTGTGTGTAAGTATTCCTGTTGATATAGATTATGAGTATCACCATCAACCTCATCAAAAGATAACAAAATATATTCATCTCCAGAGAATTTATTAATAATCATGTCATTCAACATATGTACATCACAATTTTTGGGAGTAAGTATGACTCTCTCCACCATATATGAAGCATCTCATCCATGGTTTTCTAATTGAGGAAATGTATGATATTACAATTTCAGCAGGCATCCTGTGACTATGTCATCCTCTTTATTATCCCTAAAAAGATCAATATGTGGCACAACATGCATAATATAGCTGTTTTTAAAAGTTTGCATTGTTTAGTGCATACCAATTAAATTCTAATAATAATAATACTTCCATCAATAAATTAATTCAAAAACAGTTGAATAACAATCCCTATGTGAATGGTGAAAAATCATATTTGAAAGGAAAATAATTTGAAATCTAACAACAATATTTTCTATTCATGACTTCTAAATAAGACAAAACCTTGTGGATAATACACCAAAATAATTATAAATGTAACTTAACAAAGCCGGTCACCAATTAAAATACATAAATACGTCTAAATTCATTTTTAACAAACTATAATATAAAAAATTAATTAATTTGTTTTCTATGTATGATCACCAACAAAAACTCTTCAAAAATCACCATGCAAAAAAGATTTATATGTGTTAAAGTTTCCATAAGTTTTTCTTAATGGAAGTTAATGATGGTTAAAGAACAAAAATAACCAACGACTCATATTCAGTTTATCTATAATTATAAAAGTTAGATTTAACTTAACTAAAATTATCATAAATTTAGTATAATGCAGTGTAATTTTGTCCATAAACCATACAATAAAAAAATATATTGTAGTATTTAGTCATTGTCATTGCATAATCACCAACTAATACTTGAAAATAAACATTTTTGAAAATACAGATCCAAATTACATAACTTAGATGGTGATCATTGTATAATCACCGACTATTACTTAGATATAAACTTTTTTTAAAATGTAGAAACAGAAATACAAATTACACAACTTAGACGATAAAAAGATAACATAATAATAAATAAAAGAGAGTATCTTTTTCAACCTCAGAAACCGTATAAAGTTCTTCTTTGCCTCTTAAAAGTATACACAACATCCATGACAATCACAACTTTCCTTCTTGCATGATCAGTATATGAAGCAGCTAATCGTTTTTAGAAGTTATTACTACTTTTTTATTATCATTTCTTATTTAATTAATTTAATTAAGTACGAAAGTTGTTATATGCTTCATTTCATTCAGTAATGAAATTAGTCGGTTATAAAGCAGTTAATTATTTTTAGAAGTTACTATTATTTTTTATTATTATTATTTCTTATTTAATTACTTTAATAATAACTTACTAATCTATTAACAATAAAAAAATAGTGTAAAAAAATAATTTATTAGGGACAAAATTGGAAGTAAAAAAGGCTACACAAAAATTGTGTTTTGCCTTTATATATTGTTATAGATTCTATTCGTTAAGCTGCAATTTCTAATCCAAACAGTACTCTGGCATGCTTGTGACCTTCATGATCCTTAAAATAATTCTTCATAATGTTGAAGAATGCATGCCACGTCAACAAACTATCCGGTGCAGCTTTATGTGACTTTGCAACAGCCCGATTTACATTAAGGATAGTAGCTACTTGCTTGAGACCACCATACGAAGAGTCGCAGAACTTCATCATGTGTTTCATATCGTAAACACTTTTTCCAAACAATACTTCTATGATGTTTAAAAATTCCTCTAACCGGTTTGGCAAATCCATTCGGGTCAAAATATTCACCAAATATCCAAAATCACATGCGCTATTAAACGTGACCCAAATAATTGATTTGTTAAAAACAAGTATCGACGAGAACATTAAATCAGCGAAACACATTGAATCCACGTGACAAATATTGCGCTCAAAGTTGATTCCTTGACGACGAAGCATATCAACGAAACTTGATTACAAAGATCATGATTGATGTCAAAATCACTGAAATTAAACTCCCAAATGGATGTGTTATTGCTTCCAAAGTCAGGAAGGTTTCCCTTGGAGTCCGAAAGGGTGAAACTAACTTGGATGAGTTTAAGATCATCAACATTAACCTTCAAGTAACGGTAATAATCGGAGGGTTGAAGATGACGATGGTCAATTTTAGGGGAATGAATTACGCCGAGAAATGCAGTATCCATTGAGATGATAAAATGATTTTGATGGATAGCTTGACGGATGAGATTGAATTTATACTCTAAATTGTATGCCCAGACCTCACGGATAATGACTTCTTTCAAATTGCTAATGTTGAGTTTTTCTCTGAAGTTGAATTGAAACAAAAGAATGAGAGAGAACGCGACAAATATTAGGTTTGTTTGCTATGTTATGAGATGAGAAGTGATTTGGGTGTTTTATATTAAAAGTGGGAAGATTTTTTATTAATGATAGGATATGAATATTTAGATTTGTTATTAATGATAGGATATTGATATTTAGATTTGTTATTTATTAATAACAAACGGATATTTAGGAACATTATTAGTTAATGTGTTTGATATACTGAGTGGAAAGAGTGATGAATGGGAAGTTGTGTTCTACAAAAATTCAACTAACGAAGTAACTTTCTTCAATTATCTAAACTAGCATCCAAACAGACACGTTTGTCCGCTTTTTTATTGAGTATAACCATTAATTCATTAAGGTATTTTTTATTTGATTTTAGTTTTAATTTAAATTATTTATCATATACATTTTTGTTTATTAATTTAATTTTTTTATTAAATATATGGTCAATGAAATGCTTCCAAAGAGAGGAAAGGAAAGGACAAAAAGGTTGATTTTTTATTAGGGTGCATGACGAGAATTTTAATCTCGCTCTAACGTATCTCCAAGTGCAATAGAGAGTTCAAGGCTACGTACTTATGGATAGAAAATGTTTATTTATTGGTCGATTTCAACGAAATATACTTAGTCGTATTCGACAAAAAATATTGTTTTACCCAAAACAGGTAAGGAGCGGATGTTTGCATCACGACAAAATGGACTTACAAATTAACATTCGCGGGAAACGCTACTTAACTCAACTCAAATGGTTATGGATGAAGCAGCGTTTTCTGTCATCTAAAGACTCAATATCTTACATTTATGAAAAGATTTAAAAGATCACACGACGGCGAGAAAAAGAGTTTAATGTGTTGAGATATTTTGAGTTGATGAAAGAGCTCGAATGGTCGAGAATTACATCTCGTGTCCTCACTCTAAGGAGATTGTTGACTACACCTCACTCCTTTTTTATCTTATTTGAGAAAGAGTTTTGATATTTTTATGTGTTATGAAGTTTGATTGAGAAAAAACACTTGATGCTAGTCGAGGTTTATTACGCGTTGAATTGATTATAGGATGACGAAAGCTTAAACCAACGAGAACTTCATCTCAGATCCTCACTCTCGGGAGATCGTTGATTACACCCCTCTCTTTTTTCATCCTTTTTATTAAAAAGTGTTTAATATTTGTTAAGTGTTTTCGATCTTTGATTTGGAAAAATGGGCTTGACGTTAGATCAAGCTTTTGATGATCTGCAAAATGGTTTAACAAAAATGGTTGGAGATTTTGAAAATGATGTGGTCTTTAAGAAAAAAAACTCCTTGAAGGCGACCCAGTTATGTCGACCAGACACCGTCTGACGCTACAGATGGAAGACACAGAAGAACAGCGGGATGGTGGCCCCAAGCTCAAGGTAGTTGCTGACGATCTCAAACGCCCGGATGAAGGCCAACAAGTTAGGATGAAGTTGGAACGACGCCATCATCAGATGGTTGAACACGCCCTATTGAAATTTGGTGAAGGGCATGCGCATCCCCACCTCCTTGAAGGAGAACTCGTACATCAGAAACTGACCACCGTCGTACCGCGAGCATATATGGTCCAACTCCCTTGGTCGGCAAGCACGAAACTGACGAGGACTCCCGGCCTCCATGTCTTCGATCACGGCAAAAACGTCAGAATCGTCGTGGACGAACCTCGACATATAATTTAAAGGCTCTCCCCGATCCATTCCTCTAACGGTCTCTCAGGGGGATCCATGTCGGCCTCATCCTGATGACCTTCTTCATCCTCAAACAGGTACCAGTGCACCTCCTCCTCAGCATGGCCAGCCATTTTTTACCTAAAAACCAGAGGAAGATTGTGAATTCGACAGCCAAATCAAATCCACCCTTCCACCGCAGTTCAAGTGAAAGGGCGTGGTCGCCTAACCGCCCAGAGGACGAGTTAGAGTCAATCTTAACCCCGAGGATACCATAGAGTACACTCTCTGTTCTCGGCGTACACATCCACTCGTGCCCGGGGAGTTCATCCAATTACCCTTGGGACATTCAAAGTTCTATCAATCCTCCCCGCGCCACTCATCGCAAGGGCCGAGGACATTCATTTTCTACCCTAACTTTGAAGGACCCTCTGGCGTATTCTCCGGAAAAGGCCACGGTATTCCCAGCGGGGCCGCTGAAAACACTGTCGTAAGCAATAAAAACACCAGGAAGGATGCAGAAACTTACTGGGTATGGTGGCAGAAAAGATGTCTTCTACCTACTCTGAGAAGCCCTTATCTTCTCTCGAATAAACCTCACCTTATCCGTCGTTTGCTGTACCATCTCCGGTCCAACCACCGACCTCTCACCAGTCTCATGCCAACACAAAGGTGTTCGACATCTTCGACCATACAAAGCTTCAAATGGCGCCATACCAATACTTGAGTGAAAACTGTTATTATAGGTGAATTCAATCAACGCTAAATAAATATCCCACGCACCACCTTGCTCTAGCACACAAGCTCTCAACAAATCTTCCAACGACTGAATTGTCCTTTCGGTTTGACCATCTATTTGCGGATGATAAGCCGAACTCAATCTCAACTTCGAACCCAAAGCCTCTTGCAAACTTTCCCAAAACTTTGAAGTAAATCTTGGATCTCTATTCGATACAATGCTCTTGGGAACTCCATGCAACTTCACAATCACTCGAATATAAATCTCGGCCAACTTCTCCAAAGGATAACTAATATCAATCGGAATGAAATGATCAGATTTAGTAAGTCTATCAACAATCACCCAAATTGCATTGTGACCTCTCTGCGTATACGGCAACCCCATAACGAAATCCATCGAGATGCTGTCCCATTTCCACTCTAGGATATCCAATGGTTGCATGAAACCACTAGGCTTCTGATGTTCCACCTTGGACTTCTGACAAGTCAAACACGCGTACACAAACTAAGCCACATCTCTCTTCAACCCAGACCACCAAAAGATCTTCTTCAAGTGTTGATACATCTTATTTGCTCCTGGATGAATACTTAAATTACTACAGTGTCCTTCTTCCAATATCATCCTTTTCAATTCTGCATCATCAGGAATACGAATACGACCACGAAACCTCAAGACTCAAAACCATTAACTTTGAAATCTTCATTCTCATTCGTTATCAAATCAACAAACTTTAAATCCAACTTTTTCCTTTCGCAAACGGTTGCAAGAAAATCATTTGTGATACGAAGCATACCAAGCCTCACACTCTTCAGCGTCATATCACAAACCAAACTCAAATCTCTAAAATTCTCCAATAATTCCCATTCCTTTACCATCATTGCGGACACATGCAAAGACTTCCGACTTAAGGCATCTGCCACCAAATTTGCCTTACCCGAATGATAATTTAATCCAAAATCATAATCCTTCAAAAGTTCTAACCATCTTCTTTGTCTCATATTCAGTTCCTTCTGATCAAACAAATACTTCAAACTCTTGTGGTCACTAAAAACTTCAAACCTTGCACCATACAAATAATGCCTCCAAATTTTTAGCACAAAAACCACGACCGCTAATTCCAAATCATGTGTAGGGTAATTTTTTTCGTGCACTCTCAATTGTCTAGAAGCATAAGCCACAACCTTCCCACCTTGCATCAAAACACCACCCAAACCAGTCAAAGAAGCATCACAATATACTACAAAAGGTTCTGTAGGATTAGGCAAAATCAAGATTGGCACTGTTGTCAATCTCCTCTTTAACTCCATCAAACTCTTCTCACAATCAACATCCCAAATAAAAGCTTTTCCTTTACAAGTTAACTGCGTTAACGGAAGTGCCAATTTTGAAAACCCTTCAATAAACCTCCGGTAATAACCTGCCAAGCCCAAAAAGCTTCGAATCTCTGTAACTGTTCTAAGGGTCTCCCATTGCATTACCGCATCAATCTTAGACAGATCAACACTAATACCATCACCTGAAATAACATGACCAAGAAAGCTCACTTCTGACAACCAAAACTCACACTTTGACAACTTGGCATACAACTGCTTCTCCCTCAGAATCTGTAACACAATCCTTAAATTTTCCTCATGCTCTTCTTGCAACTTAGAGTAAATCAGAATGTCGTCGATAAACACAACCACAAAACGATCCAATTGCTCATGAAAAATACAATTCATGTACTCCATGAACACACCTGGCGCATTAGAAACTCTGAATGGCATCACTAAATATTCGTAATGTCCATACCATGTCCTAAAAGCCGTCCTTTGAATATCTCCCTCTTTCACCCAAATTTGATGATAACCTAATCTTAAATCAATCTTGCTAAAAACTCGTGCTTCAACTAATTGGTCCATCAAATCATCAATTCTAGGAAGCGGATACTTATTCTTAATCGTCACTTTGTTCAACTGTCTATAATTAATACATAACCGTATACTTCCATCCTTTTTCTTCACTAACAACACCGACGCACCC